CTCTCTCTCTCTCTCTCTCTCTCTCTCTCTCTCTCTCTCTCTCTCTCTCTCTGTTTGCAAAAGCGTGCTTGTGTTTATTCCTGTGTCTTGTTGGGGCTAGGGGCTCTGACAGGATATGATCCAATGGGGAAGAAATCTGGGCCAGAGGGTGCAGCAGTCATGTGGGTGACATCTAAAGATGTCGCATCGCTCCATCAACAGCTTCAGACACTTTCTTCTAGAAATAATGGCGTGGTGGTCATTGAAGGACCGCCTGCCGCATTACATGCCCGAGTTTTAAACAAAGGCCGTCTTAGGTCYAGAAATGATGATGTAAAAGTTGTTTTGTTCAAACCTTATTGCATGTGCGATCACGTGCATATTACGAGATCACACACTGTAGCAGGGCTATTCAACTAAATTGCTTCAGGGGCCACAGTAAATGCAGACCAGCAGCACAGGGGCCGAACATCCAGCAATTAAAGTCATTATGTAAATAAATCAAGTATTACAAAGACCTGTTACCTTTGAATAAGTAACATTTCTGCATTTAATCATGAATTCAACATACAGAACCTTTTGTAATAAAATTAGAGATAACAAAACAATATCAAAAACAAAAATAACACATTATTTAACACATATATTATTTTGACATCTCTGACTTGCCAAATTTTTAAACCAATTTTATTTTCACTTTCATGGTTTTATCTTCAGCTGCTTGTAGTTTTAACTGTCTTGGATGTTCATAGAAATGGTTTGTACCAGTTTGTAGCCAAGATTCTGATGTTTCTGTAGATACCAAACATGTTTAACTAAAAGAACTCATAGTAGTTTAAGTAGAAAACCAGGGATTTGGACTTAAGAGATGAATGAACCAATTGGCGGGCCACATTTTGGTCACTCGTGGGCCAGATGTGGCCCGCGGGCCACCAGTTGAATAGCCCTGCGCTATAMGGAGATGGAGATGAATGTCAGCTATTGGCACATCAACTTTAGCATGAAAGCAGTAAATCTGACTGACTGTAGTGGCTATCTTGAATCGGATTGACTCCAAAAGTTACAAAGTAATCAGTTGTAAATGGATATCCATGTTTTAGGACTACTTCTGTAAAGCTGTTTTTTTTTCAGGAGGTCCTGTGGTTTTATGTGGGATTTGTTATGGATTCAAACATGAGGCTGTCGAAACAGCCTAAAACATTTTGTACAGCACCTCACAAAAATAACTGTACTCAAGCGTAATATTGACAACCTTCAAACGTCAACGTTATAATCTAGATTTTTTTAAATGTGTAATTGTGCAATTTTCAAAACAATCTTTTGTACATTTATATGTTAACTTCCTTGTGAGTTTCCTTCCATCCTGTCTTTCTTARATCATCACAACCTCCCGTCTACTTTCCTTTCAGCAGAGCCACATAAAGTAGTAAAACAGTTGAAAGAAACACAAACGGCAGTATTTGCTGATTATGTAGGAGTTTACAAAAATAACATGCAGATTTTATTAGTTTTTACAAATCTTTGCCATTCAGCTTGATAAACTACACCAGCTAACAGAAACTAGAGTCAAAAGGGTAAAGATAAGTCTGCCAAAGCTTTTACTTATCAGAATGTTGGTCACTTTGGGCTTAATAAACTGATAATTTAAGGTTTTTCAGATTGTATGAAGGAGCCAGACTAAAATCCTCTTGCTTTTGATAAAAATTAATCAGATTCATGACTGAACTCAATTTGCTGTATTCACATGACTTAGTTTCCTATGAGAAACAGGTCATTTTCACTAGATCAGGTTAGATAAGGTCAAAGGTGAGTAGAGTACCCACAAGTTGTACACAAATAAGAGTATCACTACTTCAACATATTTGTACTCAAGTAAAAGTAAAAAATTAACCATCCAAAGAATTACTCGTATAAGAGTAAAAAAGTTTTATGTAAAGAGAGTAAGAGTAACAATACTTTGTAATGATATTACTCAAGTAAAGTAAAACGTATGATGTTGTAAGTATTTTTGTGTTATTTAAGGCCCATTAGCTGTAAGGAGCATCAGTTGGCTCTAAATGGCATTCAGGTGTAGAGGTTATATTCAGTGATTACCTCCTGAATGTTTCCATCTGACTGACAGATACTGTAGACTGCCTTTCTGACAGCACTYACTCCAATCAAGTAACGGTATTGAGATAACGCTCAGCTAGATTTTACTCAACACCTATAAAACTGACTAAGTTAAAGTTGTGCTTGCTAATGTTGGCTAGCTGTAGTGGCAAACTTGAATCAGATCTGATGAAGATGTGCATTCAGTGGATACTTTCAGAGAGTTTCYTTATAACTAATGAAGTGGTTCATGAGACACACACAGACATTTACACACACAAAAATAGTATCAACTTTTTGTCTTTTGGCAGCAGGCGATGAAACAGTTCACTTTACTGTAATGTTGTTCAGCAGATTTATATTTGATCAAAGTTTTTTCTTCTTCTTTCGGCTCATTAGACGCTCCTTCACCGAGCAGCCGGAGGAGCTTCCCCCCATCCTTCTGGGACAGCAGCTACTCTTCCCCTCAGAGCCGCCCCCACTGCGAATCCAGCGCACCCTCCTATTCCATGGACCCGTACGCGTCGGGGCTACATCCGGGCCTGACGCACCCACACGCCCATCCTCACCCACACGCCCATCCACACCCCCACGCTCACCCGCCGGAAACCTGGGGGTATCCTCAGGCCCAGGCTTACGGCCACCCACGGCCTTTACGTGAACTGTACTCACCGTCGGCTCTGGAGCCTCACTATGGGGGTCTGCTCATGCCTACRGTGAGACCGCCTCATCTACCCACTCTGCAGAGCCATTATGAAGTCAGCAAGCTGGAGCCCCCCACCTCTTGGCCCAGTCTGCTTCCTCCTGGAGATGTGAGCCAGACGCTGGCGCTCAACATGGATGCAGGTAGGACTACATGTTGAACGAAGTCTGGGTGATGGATGGATGGATGGATGGATGGATGGATGGATGGATGGATGGATGGATGGATGGATGGATGTATAATGCATTGTAATCCCTGCTGCATCCTTTTTTATTTTTGACATTCATAAAAACATTCAGCTGAATGAAGGAATGGCTGCTACCACTTTTGGTTATTTTAACTTATAATTTTCACAATACTTCACTCTATTACAGACATTTTTCCCATAAGAAATCATCAAAATATATTCAGATCTTTTAAAWCCAATGTTTTAATTTTAAACTGATGCAGGTGTGCAGTACATGCTCCAGTTTTGTCTGTTACTTTTGGTTTTTAGAGATTGTTTTGTTACTTTTAGCTAGCTTTTTGATACATTTCAATTTTAGCTAACATTTTGCTACTTTTAGCCTGTAACTAGTGTTTAGCTGCTTATGACTAACATTTATCTAATTCTAGCGAACGCTTTTGCTACATTTAGCCTATATAACTCGTGTTTTGACACTGTTACATAACAATATTACTTTTAGTAGTGTTTTGCCTCTGTTTGCAACTTTTAGCCTGTAACTTGTGTTTTGTGACGTTTAGCTTTTATCTAGCATTTTGCCACTTCAGCTTTTAGCTATCATTCTGCTTCTTTTAGCTTTTAAGAACTTAGTCAAATTTAAGTGAAGTCATTCAGCAGAGAATGAGTATCAAACTGTGCTTTTAATAGATAATGTAGTTTCTCTTTACAGTTCATAATCAGACCTATGCAAATTATTAACATGCATAACTAATAATCTGCTGTCATTATTAGAAATAAATTAACAGAATCTGAATTGATGCTGAATAAATAATCTAAGAATAATAGTAATAATAATAATAATAATTATTATTATAATACTTAAGCAAAATGCAGTCTTATAATCTTTCAGACATACTCACTTCATGGCAAAGGTGTCACTTTCTAACTTTAATTGCATGTGTAACTGTATGACATGCACAGCTGCATATGCTTTTGATACTGAATGTTACAGATACTCCCACATGTGCACGTGCACACACACACACACACACACACACACACACAC